CTCAGACAGGTCACTATCAAAGTCAAACGCAAAAAAATGCAAAATGCCCGGCAAATGATATAGCACGACATGTAAGGACTAAAGTTGAAACTGTTTTTTCCGAAATAAATTGCGTGGATGGGTACTTAAACGGATGCGTACTTAAGCGGGAGTCTACTGTACGTATAGACTGTCTATAAAACTAATGCATCATGTAGTCTTGTTGTTATGATTTTTGCCACTTAGGTTCGAAAGGATCAATTAGTTCAAGAGGATGTTATACTGGAAAAATGTACAGATGAGAGTGTCGAAATCTAATTATTGCATTGATATATAGATCCCTGTGATTTGCGTCTGTGCTAAGATTGCAGTACTGGCCGTAGCAAATAAACGTGGACGTGGAAGATATCAATTGAGCGCGACATGTTTTCGTCATAGTTCCAGCTGTCCACTTGTAGGGCATTCTTACGAAGCCAATTCCACACAAATTGTTCAATCTCTATCTCTTTCATTTCGTGTCGACTCCAAAGTGTCCAGTGTTCAATGCCGCTAGGTGTGTCATATGGAAACATGTTTCGCTCCAGAACTGACTCTTCATTGCTCAGCGTCGTAGCTAAAATGAGCTCCTCCCTAGAATCAAATGATTTATCAATTGCTTCCATGTGAGCCCATTTGCGCTGGAGACACTCGTGTGATCGGCCCCAATATTCCAGACGCAATGTTCGCATTGGCCCGTCACTATCCTTCTCTCGATCTTGACAAAAATGTTTGTTGTCATCGACGCGGATACATTGTCGCTTAGCACATTTTGGCGTAGCTTCCCTGAGCGGTGATGAGAACTCCTTGGAACGGTTTGTCTCGGAGCTTAGTTCTTTTACTAACATTATGTATTTGAGTTTCTATGTATCCGGGATTTGAGCAAGGTAACGTGCAACTGCGGAATGAGACAAATCTTCAACCAAAAGACCATCATTCTCTACTCGGCAAGCTATGGATCTAAGGCAACAAATGTATGTCTTTGTACGAGCATTGCTTCGTGACTCTACGCCTCCTCCTCGATCTTCTGCGTAGCAACTGAAAGGTAACTTTTCACAGCTTTTAAAAATGAAGCCATCTTGTCCAAGTCTTTCACGCCAGGAGATCCCTTCACTTCTACGCCACTGCTTACATCTATGCCAATGGGCCGACCTATTGTAAGAGCTTTTACGACATTTGCAGGAGTCAGACCGCCAGCCATAAGGCAAGGAATTCGTCCATGCGTGAAAATCGCCGCAATATTCCAGTCAAAAGTCACGCCAGTCCCGCCGTACTGACCCTTAACGGTCGTATCAAGCAGAATATAATTCGCAAGACCTCCCTGGACTTGCTGTAGAATAGCTTCAGCGTCAACTTCATTGCACAGCGCCATCTCAGGCAAATGCAACGCACGGATGGTTGGGTGTTCAATTTGCGTGCAAATCTCAAAACCCTCGTCACCGTGTAACTGAATCAAATCCAGGCCAATTATTTCTGCAGCCGCGTTCATTTCGGCTGCCGTCTTATCGACGAACACTCCAACCACGAGAGGAGCACGCGAGCAAGCTTCACGCAAAGCGAGCACATTTTTGTGAAACCAATCTTTCTGGCCGTCAAGATGAGTCTTTAAAATGTCTGGAAGGATTGGACCCGTGCGTTCTCCGTATTTTTGCACGGCTTTCGCAATAGCCTTAGCTTCCTCCATCTCGACGTAACGTGGAGAATTCTCTACCATAATGATCCCTATCATGTCGGCGCCATTACGCAAGGCCGCTAGGGCGTACTCTACTTTTGTGACGCCACACACCTTCGCAAGCGGTGGAAGCAGGGAAAGATCACTAACCTCGTTACGATGCGGCACATTTTGCAGGAGGTCCTTCACTGTCGTCGCGATGTCAACACTTTTCATCAAATATTCTCCGACCAAAATACCGCGGACACCGCACCTTTCGTAACTGACGACATCCGCATGCGAACGAATCCCACTGAGAGCAAATAGAGTGACACCATTACTTCCTAACGACAACCCACGCTCACGAATGGCGACCGCAACACGGGCCGTAGTATTCATATCAACCTTAAACGTGCGAAGGTCTCGATTGTTGACGCCAATTAATCGTGCCTTAGCAGCTAGAGCTATGTCTAGCTCTGAAATGCTGTTAACCTCAACTAAAGCGCACATACCGAGATTATGAGTCGCCTGTACAATAAGAGACCGTCAGCCTCTATTGTTGAATCATACTGTCGGTACAACGTACATCAATTAGCTCGTTTAGTTGCTCAGGTGACAGCAGTGCCACGATGAGTAGAACGCAATCAGCTCCGTACGCACGAGCCTCCAAGAGTTGGTAGGAGTCGATGATGAAATCCTTGCGCAGAATAGCGGGACGCCTGCTTAAGCCCTTAACGACGTCTCTGGCTTCCATCATATCATCTAATGATCCTTTGAACCACTTAGGCTCCGTCAAAACGGAAATCATGCGAGCACCCGCATCGGCATATGCTTGCACCTGCTCGCGCAAATCAAGCTCCATTGCAATGTCACCTTTGCTAGGACTCGCTCGCTTAAATTCAGCAGCTAGCACAACATCACACCAATTTTTTTGCTGCCAGCATGCCGTCCACATAGCCACAAGACATTCCGTACATTGCATTAGATCTAGACTTCATTGATACGTTTCATTTAGAACTGATCGTACCACTGGCGCATTGAGATGTTCAAGCACGGGCAAAGCTGGGCCATATACACTCTCTGTTTGTACAATTTTATTGGCAAGATCCTCAGCCGACACAGTCTGCTTAGCGATCGCCACGTCTAGGCGGCGCTGTGATGCGATGACGTCAAGGATATCACTCATTCTATGACGTTAATTCTTCACCCCAAAGCTTAAGTTGCATACCGGTATTTGACAAGTATGTTGTTTCGACAAAATCCGACTACTATCTGTGGAACATAGTAAACAAATAAATATACTGATGCAGAATGAGCAGACATCTTTATACTCTCGAAATTGTGGTTGATAGAGTCAGGTACTGCCATACTTTTAGTTAGATAAAAGTGTGCACACTGCAGCACACCATTCGCGTATGTGCTGCAAGTGAAGGCATAGTGATCATCTGATCCTGTTTCTAGGAGCATGAACAGTCCGATGAATCATAGTTGCAACTGAAAAGACCAAAAACACGTCGCCCAGCCCAAATCTGACAACGCGCCTCAAAACAACATCGCCTAAATCCAGAATCTACGCCGCAAAGGCTCGAACTTCATTGGCTATGGTCCGTGCTTGTCCCAGTGAGACTGGAGTAGGTGAAGGTATTTAATTGTCTGGAAACTTTTCTTCAATGAAGGAGGATCGAGCATCTTCCGCAGAGATGCGATCATCACGATTAGCGCCGAAAAGCAAAAGCAAAAACGACCCTTCCGTGAACGCTTAATTCAACTGACGCTCAGTCACATTGAAATGTG